TGGAAAAAAGTCATCGAAGTAACCTAAACAAAACTGCGTGACCAGCTGCTCCCATGAGCTACTAATATCGCCTACAAAAATCTATTCAGACCGGAAGCCTAGAAGCATAAGATTCCCAGTGTTCTAAATAAGAGCTTGAGGACTGTGCCTTGCAGATTCAGTTACATAAAATGATAGAATAGCACACTTTCCCAATTAAATGACACCAAACATGTTGCCACTTCTCTTTACTTCCTCGCACCATCCTAACACCAGAAGAACGAAATTGTTTGCTTATATTACTCTGTTAAATATGATTTTGTCAGTAAGAGAAATATTCTTTTCTATTTTCTATGAAGTGTTGTTTAATCTCTCATTCAAATACTTTGTTCATTTTATAATGTAAGCGCCAGGTTAATGATAAATCATTTTGATTGATCTTTTTATACTTTTCCAAAAACTTAGGAATACAATTTCTATTAAAAATGTGAATGTATTATGATGACTTTATGGCAGTTTTCCCTAATCCTTTCAGTATTGCAATAAGGTAGATGAGGAGCAGTATGAAACTTGATGTTGATGTAAAATACAGGTTCACAAAATTGTCCCATTCTAAACAATCAATATCCACTTAGTTTGGAGGATGCACTCTAAATTCTAAGCTCTTAAAGGACACGTAATAGTTTTAAAAGCTAATTCATAATTAAAATCAATTTTATCCTAACTTGCCTTCACTCACACGTTGATGACACAAAATGTTATCCTTTAATCCACTCCTTCCTTGTTTATTCATCAGAAACTGTTGACCACCAACTAAGTGCTGTAGGGAATAAAAATAAATATAAAAATAGATTTTCGTACTCAAGAAGTTTTCAGAGAAGCATGAGGAAAGAAAGAGATAGTACCATACTAACTGAGTAAATAATTCATGAGAAGGATGATCGCTTCACGCTTGGCGTGGAGTAGAAGGCCATTTGGAAGTGGGAGAAGGGGGGTAGAACCCAGACATAGGGTGAGGGGGGTATGAAGACAGTTGGGAACAGAGTTGATTACTGGGTGGTTGTGCGTGTGTTTTAAAGGTTATTATCCTAAAGTCTATCAGAGAGTTGTACGTCTTTAGGGTACTAACAATATGGCTAGTATGAAATATGGCGAATGCTACAATATTTGAAGTAGTAATAGTGAGTGGAAGAATTACGTTTGTATACATTTGATGCAATTAATGTTTGTCACAGTGAAGCATGGATGTTTATATTATTTTCAATTTCATGATTTGTTTTGAAGGAGACTTTGGATAGTAAAACAGTTCTGGACAACAATCGTGATATGACGAATGACTCTTTAATTTTTTAATTTCCTCACAACAGCATTTACAGCAGCATGCTTACGATCTATTGTATTATGATCAATTTGTTCTCTTGGCTTCATGTTTCTGCCGAACAATTGGCAATAGCAGATTCGTTATAAAACAGAGCATCTGTCATATAACTTCTTGTGGACATACAAAGTGTTAAACTTCATTTTATATAAAAATCATGATCATCAAATAAATTATTTTTGGAAGTTCTTAAAGTACTCTATAGTCTCCCAATTTTTAGGTTGAGCTCTTATCACTCTTAGTTGCAACTGGCAGAAAGCACTTCCAAATTTAAATTTATTTTACCACAATTATGACATTTTCCAACTGTCACACGAATTTGCGACATTTGTTCAAAGGGAGACTAGTAGAGCGAAATGTGCCACTAGTGCAAGCAAATGGGCCTGTGGTAATTAGTGTGCTGTTCTGAAAGACAAAATCAGAGCCTGAAATTTAACACAGCAATCGTCCCAGTGAACAGTTAGTATTCAAATGCGCCAGCCTCCGTGGTGAGTAGTCCAAGGGCATTCTCTCTTTAGTCCCAACCTTAGATTGCAGCTATTTCCTTTTCATAGAGAGAAAGAATGAGCATTAGGAAGCCCAGAAAGATAATTTGGTTATGGCCCAATAAGCAATGGGTGGAGAAACTGAGACTCCAAACAAACCTGTGAGGTGTAGGTATAGACAGCGTGAATACCCCCACTCTACAGATGGGAAGCATTGAGGCTTAGAGAAGTCTGGATGATTTAGTTAAGCTGAAACAACTAGTATGTGTAAAAACTGGTATTCAAGCACAGGTCCTTCTAACTCAAGTGTAGCTATATTGTTTGTCAATATTTACAATAAATTTTGACAAAATTTAACTTGTGAGCCTGCTATTTACCTCTTCTTTGTTTTGACACCGAGGGGGCACAATTTGGGAAGTAATCAGAGAGAGGAAGGACAATTGTTGAGGACACCGAGGGCCAGAAATTAGTAGCAAGTAATGTTACCCCATTATATTATTTTAGGCCATCACATCAAAGCAGGAGGGTCTCAGGAGAAAGTGTTTACCCTTCCTACGTTTCACAGTCAGAACATTTACATTATTTTCCCAAAGTCAGAAAGTCAGTATGTCAGCCGGAGCCCTGGAAGCAGCCCTCTGCTAAGTAACCTGGAGGAAGTTCATTCGCCTATTTTCCTACTGGTGTCATTTACTGTACATTACTTTCTTCCCTAATTACTTTTATTTTACTACATCTTGTTTATAAACTATGGTGTTATGAGCCTGGGCAAAAATATTGGGTTTTTTTCCCTTATTTTTTGCAGAGTACTGTAGTAGATATTCAATTCTTAAAACGCAATAGAAACTCAAAGCTCAGAAGGCAACCTGGAATCACTAAAAATACTTTTGTTTTCTACTAATAAATAGAAAGATGAACAAGAAAAATGACTGTCACTGATTTTTCTTTATTATGAATGTTAGGGTCACAGTAATATATTCTAAAAAACTCTATTCTTTGTCAAAGATAGTGAATATGGAATGTTTGTAGATTTATATTACAATTTGTGGGATTGACTATTCATTAGCCATATTTTGTAGGCCTTTTAGATGTAGGGGAAAGGTAAGATGAAGACACAGAAGCCGTTCATTTTGTTAAAAATTATGTGATTATAGAAGGGGGAGGATCAAGTCAAGGAACATGTATAAAGGACCCATGGACAAAGACAACACAGGGGAGGATTGAATGTAGGAGGGCAGGTAGATGGGGCAGGGGAGAGTGATGGAGGAAAAATAGGGACAACTGTCATTGAACAACAATAAAAAATATTTAAAAGGAAGCCACAAAACTTACAAACATAGAGTACTATAGACGGTTATGGCATTGTAACGACAGGGGATGAGTAATTTGACATTTATAATATTGTCCTTGATATTAAAATATACACTCAACACACAAAAAAATCATGTAATTATATGAGCTACCACTGGTAAGCTGAGGACAACTAGTATTAATAAATAAACTTTTTAATACAAATGTTAGAAACTTGTGTTCAAACCTAAACTGTAATTTACAATTTTCTCCAGACGATTTGCATATTGCTATAGCAAAGGTATTTTGCATATGTGTGTGTTGGTAAATATATATATGTTTTTACCACAAAGAGCATGGTGTTTCCTACACTTGGCACCCTTGGCTTTTGAAATAACATTGTTTGCATTTGCGTAGTCATGGTATTCAATTGGCCACACCAACTGAGAAAGGCTCAAATAAGATTCTATTTGCTAGCAGCTGTGTTTTTAATAACATCATTTTGAGTTTATGTGAAAGCAAATAATTTGGTGGTTTAGATCACATTTGTTTTTACTTTAAATCTTTTAGTATGTCTATTATATATAGATAGATACAGCATATGTAGCTATAGATATGTTCACTGTAAGAACAAACCATTAGTTTGTAATAGTTGTATTATTTCCATTTCATATTGACATGTGGATATTCTCTTCTTAATAATGACAAAGCAGGGCCTTAAGTGATACTTTAGCCACACACTTGATGAACAGCATCAATACTATGTGACAAGTGTCAGAACAAAATGTTAAATACTAAACTGCCATCAGGTGTCGGCTTGTGCTCCTTCGTCATCTAAAAGGGAATTTTATGAATGATGTATCACAGTACTATACACAGGTACATTTACAGGCCAGCGAATGTTTTAAGTTAATGCCAGTGAGTTCAAATAATCTCAGTGAATAATGAAGCCATTCATTGTGTCCAAAGATTTGTCTTTCTTCAATGATACAGTTTTCTCCTCATTTGAAAGGGTATTTAATTGCATTGCTCATCCACTTTTAATATTTAATAATATTTTTATTAGCTGTATGGAATGAGAAGGGCAAGGTTTGCAATATCTAATGTTGGGCATCAATTTTTTCCTATCATAACTTAGTGAATATTGTAATCACAAGGAAAGGCAGAAATGTAAATTATCTTGGAAGTGGTTGGGACTTGCTAGTTTATTGATGTTAGCATGGCCAAGGGCACAGGGAAAAAGAGATGAACGCCTGAGGGTGAAGCCCTAGCACGAAATTCTTGCAACATACTAACCATCCTTGATTTTAAATAATGAACAGAGAGGCTTTGAATAAAGCTGTGAGTGCTGCCGATAACAACTGCTGGTTCCTTAGCAATTGATAGGGGATCTCGATGACTTACAAGACTTAGTCTCGAAAGGCGTATGTTCCTTTCACCTCCATTAATTTTGACAACTTTTCATTGACATTTCTTAAACATTTGCACTGTTACTTCCTTTCAGCTAAGACAAAAGCATGAGCTAGAGTGGGAAAACTTGGCGTAGCCATTATAACAATAGCACTTCTTACTTAAGTAACACCTTTGAACTGATGTTTTCAAAATGCTTTTGAGCACATTTCATTAGATGTGTGGGTGGGATGGAGGTCAGTGAGAAGCCCTCTGCAAGCACCGTACATTTAAAGCCTCCATGGTAATGTAACCCAGGCCATGGAGAGAAAACATTTTCATTTTCAGTGATCTCAATGTGCATGTGTGTATTAGGAGAATTCTAAATTCTGAGTGCCATTTGTTCAAAATAGAACCAGATATTGTTGAAATTAATGGGTTTTAAACCTATTTTAAAATGAATCATTTTTAACTCCCTCTAGCAACTGCTTCGAGAGCGACAGCAGATGGCCAGCCGTCCCTTTGCTTCTGTTGACGTAGCACTGGAAGTAGGAGCTGAACAAACAGACTTTCTTCGAGGGCCGTTAGAGGTAGGAACAGCGGTGCCAAAAGGGGGCCTCTGTGACTTGCATATTCATATTGCTTGTCTCATCTGCATCTACTTGTGAAGCTAGACAGAGTCTGATTATCTCGAGTTGACAAGATTCAGCGACATATATTATGCCATTTTCAAGGTACCTAGTTTTAATAGTATGACATGAGCTGTAACAAAAGCCACTGGAGAATCTATTAGCTTAGGCAAGAGTGACAAACGGCTCACCTGGCAGCCTCTCCCCGACAGATAGGAGCTAAGGAATTAAAGGTACAGGTATGACAGAAGAAACAGAGGCTCTTTGTAGTCCCCGAAGTGCTCAATATCCCGTAATTAACAATCCACGTCTATATTAACAAAGTTGGCTTTAAAAGGTGGATGAGTTGCATTTTAATGATGTCGTTTCATTTTTGAATGTTGAGAACTGTAGAATACAGTGAGTATATTTTATTTGTGGTAATGACAGTGTTGGTATATCCTTTTATTGCAAACGCAGAAATAGAATGTGGTGAAACAGCAATCATTATGTGCAAGTAAATGTGCTATTAGAACCCCGAGGTAATGCATGAAATGGTTTTTGAAAATAATAATCCCCAGAGAAGCAGAAGCCACAGATTGTAATTAGTGGCTAATCAACACATTTTGAGGCATAGTAATTTACTTGTATGTTTATTATTGTTTTATTTATACTTTATATATAGTAAGATGTTTAAGTAGGAAAATTAAGAAACACTATAGAGTAGAAATACTTCATTCCTTTTTATAAACTGGCCCTCGTGACTAACTTGCTATTTTGATATTTTGCTCTTCTTCAAGGAAAGCAAGGGACATAAAAACAGACTCCTTTAAAAACTTAGGTACAAATGTAATTAATTCTAAATAGCATTTTTGGTTATTCTGGAAAAAAAATACGGAATCAGACCTCCTGGGCACTCTACAAAGGCCGGTACTTAGAGGACATTTCCCTATAAAATTTTCATAATTTTCGTGTTCTTGACTTTTTACTGAATAAAAAGCCTCCATTTTGAACCCCTCCCCATCCTTCACCTACTCGCAGATAAAACAGGTAATGTACAGACCCATCAAAAATACTGTGCTCCACAGCACGCAGGGACTGCACTGCTGTGAAACCATGAGGCCCAGCAGGGCATTTGCGAGTACTGTCGAACACTTGTCACCTGCATCCCTGGTATATTTTTAAATGTTAATGTTGATATTATTATTATTATCAACAAAACTATTCATATTAGCACTAACATTAAATATGAATGTTAAAAAAATAACAGTATCTTAATAGGGGTTAGTCAGTAGCGACAACAACAAAAAGTCATTATAATATGTTTGGCTCCTCTCCTAATCTTCAGATTGTCTTGGATCACGTGGTAGCAGTGGGTAATAGTTATTTTATGATTTTTGATTAAATATTGTATTAGGCTATTCTTTCCTCTAAATGTTGTTATTACATTAAATTTATATTTCTGTTTAGTATGTGTTTGCTTACATTTCATGTAAAATTAGTTAGTAATTTAACCTGTATTCCTGACTCCTTTCTAATACGTGGATTAATAGGTAACATGATCAGGCTCCTATCCTCAATTAAATACCTGACTGTAAGAATTCTATAAAACACTGTTAAACCAAACAGAAGTCTTATCAAATGAAATCCCAGATACTGGAAGTATTGTGCCAGGTATTTTAAATGTAGAACCTAAGAAACCAATAATGAACTCTAGGTAAAACATTTTCATAGGTTCTCATAATTTGCTTAGAAAATAAGATAGCGACTAGGAAATTTAAGATGTATAATCTGAAATATGACCTTGTCTTAATATAATTTTTTTAATTAAGGGTCATTTTTGATACCAGAGATGTTTGTTCATAGTTATACCTTAAAATTTTGTTCATACTTATTACAAGCCTCCTTTAATTTTTGATTCATGAAGAAAGGCTCTGGATTAACCATTAGTGACATATAAAAATATGTCAGACTAAATATTATATAAGTAAAATTTATGTGAAATTTTTCATGGGGAAGAAGCTGCTATTCATGGCTTTTGCCATCCCCAATATATCTTAGGAAACAAAAGCAAAAATGACCCAGGATCATTTTTTCATATTTCATAGTGGAAAGTCTCTTAAATAGAAAGAACATACTGTGAAAAATTAGGTCAACAAATACTTACCAGTCTGACTATGTGCAAAGCATATGGGAGATAGAGATAGAAAGACATGTCTGTATCTTCCGGAAACTTACACATGAATAAAAGAGAGAAGATATAAAAATACTTCTAACAAAATGTATGTGATTAATGCTAATAGGACAATAAACATAAAGAAGAGGAGAAAAAGGAAGATTGTAGTTGCTCTTGGCCTTTAAAGACAGGTGAGACATCAGTAGGTAGAGGCAGCAGTGAGGCACACCAAGTTGAAGGGCGATATGAACAAAAGGGAGAAGTAGAAGAGTGTTGTATATGTGAAACGAGGAAAAGGCAGGATTACAACACCTAAATGAGGGAGGAATTGCGGGCATCAAAGCAGAAGATGCGGGAGTACAGTAGGAAAGTCAGTCTTGGGGAGATGCTGAGGATCACAAGCAAGACTCTTGGGCAGAAGATTTTTGTCTTTGATTTTTAGAAAGATTATACCGGCAGCACTTTGTAACATCACAAGTATTGAAGAATAACTGAAGAACGATTGGGAAGTTAGCCCCTGAACCAGTGGCTGTCCAAGTGTAAAGGAGCAAACACATTTGAAAACTGCAAAGAGACAGGATTTACGGAAGGAAATAACCGACTGGATGTGGAGATGGGAGTCTGAGGCCAAGAGAGGAAGGGGTCGTAACGCTGGGAGCTCTTCGTGCGCACTCCAGGTCAGGGGAGTGAGAAGAGAAAGAGCAGCAAAGACGGATTCTAGGAAAGCTCCAACAATTAAACCGCCAGAGGAATATTAAAGGAACGAAGGGTTCACATGACAGGCTAAGCAGCACTGAGAAGCTTAAGACCATTAAAATTAAGAAAAAGAAGGTACATCAAAAGGATGAGGTGGCAAGGACGGCGTCCATTTCCTAAGCAGTCAGTGGAGAGGAACTGTAGCACCAGAGGTGACACTGGGTACTTGAGCTGTCCCTGGGGACTTTGGAGGAAGTGGTTTCTGTGGAATGGTGGAAACCAGACAGTAGGGCTGGGTTGGAGATGAGGAAGAGTGGACAACAGGGGTGGACTACTTTTGGAAATTGATACTGCCAGAAGGAAGGAAATGAGATGGTAATTTAAGAAATGGACCGGTTCGAGAAAAAGTTTCTCTGGAAGAAGAAATGGCAAAGGGGGAAAATGTACATTAAGGGAGAGAGAATCAAGGAAACAAGTATAATTTTTGGAAAGACAAAATGGTAAGGGTTAATTTTAGAAAGCGGAGAAAAGAAAATGACGGGTAGATTAAAAAACAGAGCATTTTCAGGTGATAGCAGCGTACTTTTGACAATTTTATCACTTTTATGCTAATATTTGAAGTAAGGTCACCTGCAGAGCTTGTGTGAGGGTGTAAGGGTGAGATTTAAGAATGACGGAGGAGATGTGAAGCCCTCCTTGGAGAGACCGTGACAGCTGCTTCAGGCAGGGATCTGGGAGCTATCTGAGAGGTGTCCTCTGTTCTCATTTTCTGTGAGCCGGGGAGCCCTGTCAGTTCTACAACTTGAACATGTGTAAATCCATCACTTCGTCCCCACTCCTCCTCCTCTGTGTCAAGCCTTCAGGATTTTTTCCCTTGAACTTTTAATGCTTCTTCCTGGTCTTCCTGAAGCTATTTACCCCCCTCCCTCTTCCAGGCTATTTTCCATGTTGCGACCAAAGTGGTCCTTCTAGGGGGCCAATCTGCTCATATCCAGTTTCCCAATGGTTCCCCTTCTCTTTCAGTAAAATCTGAAACTGCTCTGCCTTGTGTACCTCCAGGGATCCAGTCCCTTTCTTCCTGTCTGGCTGTTTCTTGCCATCTCACCCCAGCCATCTGATCCCCACCCACTGCCCCTTCCCTGTCTCTCTTCCTCCAGTTTCCTTGTCCTGGAAGAACTTGCCTGTCTGGTAGAGTTCAACCATTTCTGCTAATCTCGGGGGGGGGGGGGGCGGGGAAGACTGCATGAATAAAGGAAGAAATAAATGAAAAAGATTATCTTACGGTGACAAAGGAATTGCTGAGCAGCAATGAAAACCCAAAGAAACTTGGCATGTAGTAAGGACTTTATACCGTGATGACCTTAGAGCTAGAATCAGGAGTGAGGGAAGCAGACAGTGGGGTTTACACAAGGTTAGGTGTTGGCAAGGTGAATAGCGAAAGAGAATCATTAAGGAGAGATTCCAGGGTACCAACATGAGAACCCCTTTTAAATTGATAAAGGTTGATGTGATGACAAAGGTCTGCGGCTGACAATATGGGTAATGCAAGGGATAGAGAGTTGAGATTAATTAATTAGCTAATTAATTCACTACTTAAATACTAATCTAATTCCTACTGTCTACCTCCTATATGTTGAGCATTGAGAATACAGAAATTAATATAGGAGCACAGTAACAGTTCCTTGCGAGTAACAGTTTAATTAAGAGTGAGGGGAAAATTCAGTGTTTAAGATCTTATTAGAGATTTGAGTTATAAAGTAGATAGGACTCCCTGGTTCAGCCTTAATTATTGTTTTTCCTGAATAAGGTAAATCTGTGTTCTAATCATTCAATTTTGGAACTTTATTCTACTTTAATGCACTAAAATATACACACAACATCTCAGACTTAATTTCTAAAAATAAACAAAAAACAATTTGTTTAGAAAGGCATGATTTTGAGTGAACAGCAAAATCTTTTGGCAACCGCATTGTAAAACATTATTCAGCCAGTGTTTTATCTGTATATAAGTATATATAATGTTTATATATAAGTATATATCTGCTAGGGAAAAAGTAAGTATAAACAACTATGTACTCTATGTAATTATATGTAAGTAAATATTAAGTAT